TTCTCCGAGGCACCGTTAACGAGTTATTAACGAAAAACAGTGACCAATAAGAATCGAGTACGGCTGACGCGAGGCGGCCCAACCGACCAGCGCACGAAGCCCAGTTCCGCTCATTGGCCCGATCGCCTCGCGCCAGCTGAGATCGCCTCTCATTGGTCACTGTTTTTCGTTAATAACTCGTTAACGGTGCCTCGGAGAAAATTTTTGTAAAGAAAAAAGTTGCTTCAAATGGCCTGAGGAACCCGCCACTTTCGGATTGCGAGACATTTTTGGGACATCCTGTATATACAGTATCAGACTCTGCCGTCCAGAGAAATAGCCTCGCGCAGAATTTAGCCGTACCTAAAAGGTTAATATTTGACATTAAATTTAACGAATCCGTAATATGTTACTAAAATAATAAACGATCTTAATGGATCGTAAAAAATGATTATGTACCTTGGCATTAGAATATTCTTTAATACTGTTATCCGACGTTATACAACAAAATTGTAAGTCCGATTGTTCAATTAGCTATTTGAGTGTTTATAGAATATGAAAAGTCAGATACATAATAATGTACACTTATTAATAGTTCACTCAACAGTTAGGTATGACTCAACTCTACCATAAATCAATGCCTAACGTTTCTCATCCCTCTCGTAGGAATTAATAGAAATACAGTGTAGCGTTTGAATTAATAGAAACATAATCATCGTCGGAAGTTGCTGCTACAGATGATGTTATCGGCGTTTAATAGCCACGTTCTCGTAGTTATCGGAAGACTATTACAATTAATTGAAGAACCGCATCGAAAATCGTCCTTGCGCCTTAGTGGTTGGGACTAAGACAGCGGCGTAGCCTTCGAGGATCCTCCTGACGGTCTCGTTATCGGTGTTACCGGTAACATTCCGGGGTCTCATGCACCTCGCCACCCGTCCCGCTTTAATGGCACATTCGTCCTTTTGTTGCCTCGTCTCCGTGGAAAATATTTCGTGCGCGAAGTCTAGCAATTCCCCGACTACGCAGTCGAGGATCGTGTCTTTCGGTATTTCGCCGTGCCCGCTCACGGCGCATTCTTTGATCATGGCATTCATCCACGCCCAGTCCTCCCATTCTTCGGTGTACTTCACGCGCTGATTGTCCAATTGCCACGTTAAGTGAGCCCGGTACCTGGAGTACCAAAAAAAAAAGAAAATGAATGATACGAGACTCGCTCGTATATTCCTTTCGCTCTCGGACAAATCGCTGCTTAATGTTCCCTTAATTATTCGTGCACGATCCTGCGAGTTCATCGGTTCATTCTTTACGAAACGCTCGATCTCTTTCTAACTGAAATACGAAGGCACGATTGAAACATGGAATTTTTGTCGCTGATGAAGAACTTATCGATCATCTTCGAGGCTTATTTTCGAAATGTTATCGAGCTTTTCGTAAAATACCATTATTGCTGTTCTGTGGTGTGTGTGTTTTCGAGTAAGTTTCCTGAGAGTTTCGTTTAAAGATTGCATTCAGCTTCGGAGGCACAGTAGTCGGCGAATCGAAGGTTCTCCGAAAAAGTGGTACATTTCATTTGATGATTTATTAGCTACTGTGCTAATAATTATCAATATTTTTGAAGGAAACTTTCCCGGAACTTACTTCGAGATGTGTATTGTAAAGTGTTCGTGCTGATATTTTATAAAAAGTTCTATAGTAGCTTAGAAAATATAGTAAAGACGTATTCTTCTACGTGTTACACCCTTAAATGGATACTGCAGTATTGAGCTCTTTTTAAATCAGCTTCGACACGTTTCGACGTAGATTCTAATACTTTTCACGGCTAATTCTGCGCGCTTTTACGAGTAATTTAAAAAAAGTTACTTGTAGAAATGTGAAAAACTGTCGAAGTTACGGAGCGACGAAGATAGGCTTGCAGTAGTCGATGTGTAATCTCAGCGGATCAATTGTTGATAATTTATAAATAATTTTCAAATGTTATAATTCACAAGTTCGAAGCAGAAATATTCATAATACTAAAAATCGGAATAAATCGATTGCAATTATTTTGGTCAAATGTTTGACCTAGAAACGATATCGAAGATTCCGAGAGCTCACAGCTTAGTTATTTCCGCGATCGAGTGGATATTCACACGAAACATTTCTGCAAATGCTCAAGGGGCATTTTCAGAATCGATAACAAAAAAAATTCTTTTGAAAATCAATAACAAAAGCTCATCGGTTTCGAAAAGTCTCGAGATACCGAAGCAACGGAAAACCCGGCATTTCGCATGCAGCAACGCGCGATTCCTTTCGAATCAGGGTCGGCGGTTTAAATAAAAAAAAAAGGGAGCACGGCGTGATTGCCGGGCGCGAGGGTGTTAATGCCACATTAAAATATCCTCGTCAAGTGTAAATTGCCGGATCGTATCCCGGCTGCTAATCAGGATCTCGCTGTACCCGATGAATATTGCAATGCGCCGCATTCGTCGCGCGGAGTCGATAAAAGTCTTTTCAGAATAGGAGAAACCTGTCTGTCCCTTCCCCGTCCCGCCTCGACCGCCCTTCTCGATCCACCCCTGGCTCTTCTTCGGTCCACCCCCACGACCCCGGCGTTTTCTCGCGATTCGTTTAACATTATTGGAAAAAGAAGTTGCGCGCACTCACCCCCAGTTCAGCGGGTTCTTCTCGAACTTGACGTTTTTAAGGTTTTCTAGGTACGCCAACATCGAGTAGTCGATCATCTTAATTTGATTGTAGTCGAAGTAGAAGCTCTCCAGATTCGGCAGCGACGTGAACACCTGGTAGTGGATCACCTGGATTTGGTTAAAGGACACGTCGAGAACCTTCAGACTCGGCGTCTCCGCGAACAGGGCTCCGTCCAGCACCTTCAATTTTGTTTACGGATAACTTTCCATGCCATAATCATTTGATTTTATCGCTATTATTTCGTGGAATATTTTATTAAGCTACCACCTTTCGCACAGAGAATATGTTTATTGCTGGCCTTTCAACCGAAATTTTATTCTTTTCGTTGGAATAATCGTTTTGTATCTTGCTTATTTATGGATAATTATTGCACTGTTTAAGGAATATGAATATGTATTTGCAAGCTTGCTGATTAGGTGCTCTGAGAGAAGTATTTGAAGGAACAGTTGGGGAAGTTAAGTTTTTTTTCAATTTATTAATTAGTAAATCTTCGTTTTAGTTATGATAGAAAGAGCAACAGCATATATATATATATATATATATATATATAGTATACTATATATATAGCATATATATAGCATATATATATAGTTGAGTACGTTCATATATAAAGTATAAAAGATTCTATTATAGCAACAAAAGCGCGGCTAGACTCCAAATTTCACTCATAAGCTCCAAATGATTGGAGCTTAGTGGAATTAGTAAACGATAGCGGATTGGCAGTAACAAAATTCTAGAAAGTTCTCTTTTTTCACACCTCCAATTTGTTGCCCCATAGTAGCAGCTCTTGCAGATTCGTCAAACCTCTAAACGCAAACTGGTCGATCGTTTGTATGCCTATTCCATGGAGATCTAGCTTCGCCAATCTTTCACGGAATTTTACGAAGAGGAACCTACAATTGAACGAGATTAGTCAAAGTCGCTAATTATTTGAACCGAATCGGTTTATTTCTCGCAAGTACTTCTTTATTCCGACGAAATAGTTTGCCTGATTCGATCAAATAATATCCCAATTATGGTTCTTTCTCCATTATGAAGCAATCGCTAGAAAAAGAAAGCGTCGCACAGTGCTTCGAAACGCTCAAAATGCGGAAAAATACTTTTTAAATTCAACAAGAAAACTGTAATTGAGGCAAAAATTAGTATCCACGGGTTTTCGAGGTCGCTGATTACGAATCTACGGTCAAAAAAGTGATAAAAAAATTAAATGAAATTGTTATCTGAGAACAATTTAATAATTTCGGAGGAGACATAATTTTCACTTCTTGTCTAAGTTCCATTTTTACATTATCAAACGGAAGAGAGATTAATTCAGTCCGTATAATAAATTCTGACCAACGTGACACAAAAAAATGATCTCAGCACCAAAGCCGCAAGTTTACGCAGTCGTGACTTCTACATTTATGTACTCTAAAGTTTAATGCACCATAATAATCGAGTCTGACATTGACGCATACTGTCGCAAAAAAAAGTTGCGCCTAATTAAAGTACAATTCTTTTATTAAAAATTCATTCGCGTGAAACTCGTGTACCGCTAAAATCGACAACGATACTATTGATTTAACAAACGTGATATATTTCCTTTTTATGTATATAATCAAAGTAAAAAAGCTTTTTCGTTTCAAATCTCTCAGTTACTCTCAATACAGTTTAAAAGGTGACGCGGTTTTAGCTACAAAAACGCAGTTATATTTTTCTCTAATTTGCATTCTATATTCTTGGAACAAATTGAAGGTATTTAGAGAAAATATTTATTGATTTTAGCAAGTCTAGCAAGTTTAGCAAAGTTTCCTTAACATTGAAAAATATTACTTTTTTTCCTGCTTTAAATCACTGTGCGTCGTAATTCGAGCAACCGCGTGGACTTTATGGCACAGAACGAATGTAATAAAAGAATATGCGAACGTTTTAGGTTCTTCAATGGAGCGAGTTCCATAAAATCGGCAAATAACAACGGCGCAACTCACACGTTCCCTTTAATCTCTACTAATTAGGTTTTCCGTACGACGCGGAAATTATGGAAATACATTCGCGACGGAGCCGAAAAATCGTATGAAATATTCGCGAAATTGTTAAACACTTCTCGCAAAGATCTGTAAGGATCAAAATTAAGTTTCTCAATTTTTAAGTGTTCCACGACCTACAAATTACGGTCGCGCGTGAGAGGTTCGGCACTTTCTGCAATTGCATGTAAGTTCAGAAGAACGGCGCCTTGAAAATAGACAATTGTTAAACATTTAAATGAAAGCATTTATATCGTTGGAAGATAATATCCGACATTTATAGTTTAACTGGCCTAATGTCCTCGTCTGAATTACCATCTAATCAACAGATTAGATTTAGATTAAATTTCTATGAAAGAAAATAAACGAATCGATCAAAAAATGAAGCTTTTCTCGCAATTTAGTTTCTCAAAAATAACCTATGGTTATTGTAATTATGGATATTAGAATAATCTATATTATTAAAATACCCATAAATAATCATTGTATCAGCAAAATGTCGTACAAGCACGCTTTCCGATCGAACCAACGGAATTCGAGCGAACAATTCGGAATTAGGCAAGCTTCTCCGTACTCGAAAAATTCGATCGGGGCCAAAAAGAAAATTCTTCGATCCGCAACAATGAAAACAGTCGAGAGATGGCCACGTTAGATGAACCGCACGATCACTCTACCCGATCACACTTTCCGAACCGAGCAAATCGAATTTCCTAACATAATCGAAAATCAGACAGTCCCTATTTTGTGCCCGTCTTTTACCCCGGCAAATTCGGTATTTCCGAGTCCGTGATTTCAATGGCCGTCAGGTTTCTGCTCGCCCGATCCAGCGTCTTCACGTTTGTCAGCTGGGTGCATCGCAAGATCAAAGACGCCATTGGGCGATCCACGACCGTCTTGCAGAGTCCTTTCGGCTTGGCGACGCCGGCACTCGCCAACGGCAGCAGTCCGAGAACAATAAATAATAACGCGGGACCCATGGCGAATACCGAGACCGAGGCGGCGGATGAAAGTCAGCCGCGGACGCGAGTGTTTAATTAACTGAACGCCTCTTGATATCCTCCGCTCGATGAGCAACCGAATCGCGTGGGCGGCCGCATCCTTCGTTCCGCGTTACGATTTCCTTTCCCGATAAGGGAATTAGTTCGCGCTGCGAAATTAAAAGAAGCCACCGATGTGCACCGTAGTTTCTTCTTTTACTTTTCCCTTTTCTTTCCTTCCCTCCACTCTCCATTATGATTTTCATTAACTAACTAACGGAACGGGAGTAAGGAGGGAGGGGATCCTCGGACGGTTTTTCGGGGCGAATCAAAGTCGACTGAATCGGTCAGTGTGGTAAAAACAACGTTTATTGTCGTACATATATACACACGAGTACACAACTGAAGCGGTTAACATCGACAAACGATACATTTACATCCTCGATCGAAGAACTATCGTCGCGGATCCCGTGAACCCGGGATGAATCCGGATCCGGTTTGTGGATCTCGGAATTGGTCTCAGATGCTGAATGAAATTCGAGTGATATAGATTGATCGATCGGGTTGCTTAGATTTCTATAGTGGCGGTCCAAAGAAAGTTCAATTTCACGGGCTCCATATATGGACATTGTTCTGTCGTTAAATCTACAGTGATGTCTCCCTTACTGACGCTCAGATTGTGCACGAAAATGGACAATTTGGGAACAGGAGATTCGATTATTCGAGCCTTGCGGCTCGTTTTTATAATTGTAGACAATTCGAAACTATAAAAACGAACCACGAGGCTCGAATAATCGTATCTCCTCTTCCCAAATTCCCCTTTTTGTGGACAATCTGAGCGTCAGTAAGGGAGACATCATTGTACTTCCGCACGCGTGACTGGTGTCTATTTATAAACACGACTCCTGACAGTTCTTAGTTTTCCAATAATTTATGTAATAGAGAAAAATGATGTACGAATAATATAATAAAATCTTTCGAAGGTTTATCAAGAGTTTAATAATCGAGTTTACGCCAAGAAAATTTGTTATTCGAAATACATGCATCGCAATGTCTCTTTCGACCGCCACTTTACACACGTCTTAAACTATTTGCATTCAACGCGTTTATAATCTATACAACAACTCAGAAACAACGCGATGAAGGTTTTACCGAAATTAGTGTTGAATTTGTATTGTGATAGTGTTCTCGACACGACGTCCAACAAAGTGATCACCGCGAACATGATAATATCCTGAGCAAATGTTTCCTATAATACGCTCCAGTGCCTTGGAAAATAGCATTATAATCAACTTTGAGCGATCGGTCATGTGTTCTGCTCTTTTGATTGTTTGATTACGCCGGATAATGAGTTCAACTTCAAAAATCCTATTTTTTTTTAAATTTAAAAAGCCAGAATGAAAGGAATCGACGATGTTCCGGAAATATACAGCGACCCACAAACTTCGTGGATCTTATGAAAAGACTGAATAATTAACTGTATTAATTTCAGCTCTTGCACTAATTACCTCTTGAACTCATATCAATTTTAATCGAATCTCGTTCGTGCATGCGATCAACATAGCGATCTCTGCAGTATTCGAAAGATGGCTACTCAACGAATTGCTGAACTTAAAAAGGTTCATAAAAAATTGCCTCAGTGCAGCTGCGTATTCGCTTTAATTGCATGTCGTATTGCTGTATGATAATTTTGTTAAGAAAAGAAAAAAATCAATTTAACTGAAGCGTTACGTGTTCGTGATTTTAGATAGCTTTTAACACGATCTACGTGTACGGACGTCCGAGACCGAATTAACGCTTTGACTTCCGGTGGCCGTTGCGCGGGCCACGGATAGAAGCCGACTCGCGGTCAGAACGATTGCATAAGCCATAAATGATGCACCGAACTGCTCATTAATAGAAACGCGGACATATAACACTCGAAAATATCATGAAATATTCAGTGGTTGTCGAGCTATCGAATCAACTGGAAGTAAGTACCTATTTACCGTGGCTAATTAATCATGCCGGTCACCGGTGTATCACAATGGCGGCGAACGTGTCGACGCCGACAGGACAAGCGTCTGTATACAATCCCAGTTGTACTGTAAATTCTCCCTAATTTTCCTTCGGCTTGCAAACAAAATCGGACAATACGATTATTCGAGCGTTGCGCCTCGTTTTTGTGATCGTTGACAATCGGCGACTATAAAAAACCGGTCGCGAGTCTCGAACAATCGTATCCCCTCTGTTCCGAAATTGTCCAATTTTTGTTTACAGAGGCTGAAGGAAAATTGGGGCGAATTTACGGCATTTCTATATCCGAACCGAGTCTATAAAAATACAAACACGCATAAACGTCGCGTCCGCGGTTGAGATAACGGCCGACGGGAAATTGAAAATGAACAGATAAAAACACGCTTCTTTATTACGAGCGATTCATTAGTGTTTCCGGGTGTATGTTAATTACTCTACTGGCTTGTCGTATACAGCTACAGTTTATTGTCATAAAAACCGTTCGTTTTATTTACACCATAGAATGATATACCGCGTATCGACGATGATCCCCGATATCACGATCGCGCGTGAACGATCCAACGGTGCGACACGATGCAACACGATCCAAACACGATCCAAACACCAAACAGTCCGGAGGACGTCTCTGCTTCAATCGAAACAGGGACAAGCATCGCGGATTCAGACTATCTAGAAACGCAACATACTTAATCCGGTGACTCTGTATCGCGGGTAGCGTCAAATCAACGTGAACCGGAAGCCTAGGACGCAATCGATCGTTTTTATGTGCTCTCTCTCTTTCACACACACACACACACTCTCACACTCATTCTCTCACTCATCCTCTCACTCTCACGCCCATTCTCTCACTCATTCTCTCACACACTCTCTCACTATCTCACATACTCTCTCTCTCTCTCTCACTCACTCTCTCACTTTCTCACATAATCTCTCTCTCTCTCTCTCTCTCTCTCTCTCTTTCGTTTTTCGTCCCACTACAATATAATTTGTACTTTCCGCGTTGACTAGGCGCGCAGGAAACCACCGAAACCGCGGAAATCAAAAGTCAAAACGTTTCGACTCCGGTTTCCGTTTCATTAATTATTTTCATGAAAATAATGGTTCGTTCTCTGGTTCACGTCTCTGGTTCAAGGAAACGATCGCAGAAACGATTCAATCCTCCACTAGAATGACGACTTTTATCAAAACTATCGAATGAAAATGATCTCGAATAAAAAGTGCAAAAAGATGTGTCAATCTAATTCTGGAGAACGATCAACTTTCAACAATTCTTAGATGGTGTACGAAATAATAGAAATGCGGAGACTTGAAATTTGTGCTAGAAAATAAAGACGACACTAATATACACACTAGTTAGGTAGTTAAAGCGGACCGCCTTTCAATTAATTATTTTTAATCGTCTTTGGTTCAAGGAAACAACCACAGAGGTGGTTTGAATTTGATTTGCTTCTTATCGAGCATCCTTTTACCTAATAATGGATAACTAATTATCCAATTATCGTTGATCGATTCTGGTTGAAGTGTAACGATCGAGTCAATTGATTGATATGCTGTTGTTAACTGAACCGACTCGTCGAATTGCTGCAAAAGTAATCTCAATTTTTTTTGTAAGCTATCCATTTGGAATGCCGCAATTACTTTTGCAATAATGAGATAAATAATGACATGCCCGGTTGAAGGTGAGAACAGTGCTTTTTCCCAGATAACGCGGATTTCTTTGCCACGACAGATCTCGTTGGTATAATAAAATATTGTTAGTACAATAACAATCCTGCGACATAAGAATTTATAATTTATAATTATATATGTATATGTATATATAATTATATTATAATTTATAATTTATATTTAACAATTCGAAGCAAAAATGTTGTTACTATAAACTGAACTGCTGATTTTATGGCACAATAAAAATTATCTACGTTAATTCTATAAAATATAAGTTAATTGAACGGCAATAATTCTAATTGCATTTACAACAAGATTTTGTACTTGACATATTACATAAACACATAAAATTCGCTATCTAAGAACAACGCTAACGTTTCTAGTCATATTTACTAGCAATATTAAATAATATTTTACGTCAGTGTGAATTCGCGAGGTTTGAATAATCTTCGCCAAAACATCGACGATTTTCGAACAACAATTATTTCAGAAGTCAGGGAAGGTTATTTTCCGGTAAAAATGTGAAACCGATTTCGGGTGGCACCGTGTTCGCGCGGCTCACAATCAGCCGGGAATTTCGCGCGCGCCGAGTCAACACGCTCGAGACAATCGGCTTTATGAGCTACAGACGACGATCACTATGAAAGCGAACATTAATCCTAGGTAATTTAATCGACAATGCTGCGACGAAGTGACGCTGTTCTGGGCATTTAATTGAGTCGGCGGGAAATGCGCGGGCACGGGCGCGGACGCGGGGTACGAGGACGACGAGGAGGAGGAGGAGGACGAAGAGGAGGAGGAAAGTTTGGACCTTTTCGCGCTCGGGTCCGTCAAAGCGTTCGAATTGTTCCTCCTCAGCATCGGTGTCGAGTGACCCATATTACCGCTGCTTTTCGACAGCGTGCCGTCCCGGCCGAACGAGTGCAATTTAACCCTTCTGTCGGTCTGTTTCTTTGACCCGTGCTTGTCGATGTAGTCCGTGTGCCGGATCGGCGCTAAGGTCATTGGCAGTGTCATCTCTGCGATAACAGAAACGTTAGTAAACACTCGGTGGAGCCGTAGAATTCGACAGCTCGACGGCGAAACTGGCGCAAGTATCCCCCGCCCATCCCCCAACCAGCGCCGGAAAAAAATGGGATAAGCACCGGAAACGACACGTAAGATCCGTATTTATCTGGATCAGCGAGTGGCAAGGATATTTTACGGCGCAACGAGCTCGAAAGTCCACCGACAAGGAACATTATTCGCCCGATGATAAATTCGCGACGATGTTTTTTTACGCGGATCGAAAGTGTATGCTACGAAGATCACGTAAATGTCGATTAAAAATGCTTGTCTAAGATTGGTCTGATCTTTGTCACTGTGAAGAAGCAAATTGCGAAAAGTACGTGTTCATTTCGCGACATTATCTTCGAACAATTATTTAATTACGGTTTTGAATGAAATTCTTACCGGCTGGTCGAACAAATCGCGTTGCATACGAATCGCCACAGACTGAATTTCTTATACGTGTAAGTATCAATTAGCAGACTGCAAGGCGTTTATGCAAATTAAAAATTGTCTGCATCGATTGCAAGACACAGAACTGAAATGATTATAATACATATTTATACAATATAATATTAAAATTCTAATGAAATTCTTTTATTTCTATTTAATTCTTCTTTTCTCTTTCTAATTCTAATTTTATTCTTTTAATTCTAATTCTAATTCAGTTCTTTTATTTCTTTAGTAATTTCACGAAAAGTTCAATTTAATAGATCAATATTTTTGATTTCTTTTAACCTTCTCGCATTTTTAACCAGTTAGCTCTTATTTTACTGACGTCGATTTATTCACTTAACTTATCCAATTAGCTCGTCATAGCACAAAATGTTGCTGTTTCTTCGTGACGAGTATACTCGTCAAAAACAATTAACTGGTTAATATTAATAATGAAAATATTTATTCGATCAACGGGAGAAAGTCAATAAAAAAAAGTATTTTGGTTAAATAGCGTCTACTCATTTTTCCCACGAATGCATCAAAATTAATTACTGATTTAATTGCAAGCATGAAAGCACGTGAACGTATTCGACGATCGACCATTCAGATACCTTGAAAACCGACTCGGACACAGTAGCCATTTCATCCCGCAAAATATCGAGCCCGCTCGGGTCTCGCCGGCCAGACGAGAAGACAATGAAACAGTCGTTACCTTGAAGCCTAATCTTGCCCTCAGCTTTCCCGAGCAGATTGTCCGCCGTGCAGGTGTAGCCACCGAAGTCCTCGATGCTGAGCCGCTTGATGGTCAGCTTTAATTGATACGCGTAATCGTTCAACGGCACCTCCGACAGATCGTGTTTCTCGTCCGACAATAACTTTACACCTGAAACATCGCGTGGGTACTGGTATTAGCAAGGGATTCTCCAGGGTCGATCTGCGAAAGACGGTCGCACGGCGATGATACGGGGGTGTTGTGGGGGTGGTGCGTGGGCCGGTGTCTGTGACACAGCGATTACACCGGAAATCGTACGCCGACGTTGAGAAACAGCAGTCTCGAGCACTCGATATCGTGCCTCGATCCTTACTATCGGCTAAGAACACTTGCTGCTTCACTTGACAGACCGATTGTTTCGTTACACCAGGTACAATCAAACAATCAAACAATACGAATGATCCTCTTCTCCAAAGTTACGTTCGTATGGAAAACAAACGAGCTCGGCGGTGTTCATTACTTAAATTGTTTAAGTTGACTGTAAGAAGCACAACTTAAATGAAAACGTTTCTTTTCTTTTAATAATTATAATAAGTTGAAAATAATGAAACAATATCCTCAAAATTCTTCTAATTCTATTTAGAAAAATTCTCAAATTCTATTCTTCTGTTTCTTATTTGACTTATTTTTGTTATAAATGCATAAAATCCGCGATCTACTTACAACCATACAGGGTATCCCAAAATTATTGCACAAGCGAGAAATGAGGGGTTCCTGAGAATATTCGAAGTAACTTTTTCCTTTAGAAAAATTTTCTCCGTGGCATCGTTCACGAGTTATTAACGAAGAACGCTGACCAATGAGAGGCGTGCTCGGCCAGCGCGAAGCGGACGAAGCTCAGTTCCACTCATTGGCTCGGCCGGCTCGCGCCTGCCGATCTCGCCTCTCATTGGTCACTGTTTTTCGTCGATAATTCGTAAACGAAGCCGCGGATTGCATTTTCGCTAAGGAAAAAGTTACTTCAAATGACCTCAGGAATCACCTCTTTCCGAGCGTTAACATAATTATGGGAAACCCTGTGTTAGTAAGTTTTTCCTGGTAGATAATTATCTCTAGCAGTCACAATTTAATTAATATAATAATTTCTATATTTGAATTAATAAGAACTTTTCATTTCTCGCTTGTACAATAATTTTGGGACACCCGACTTGAAAATCCACCGTGTGTGAAACTGTAATGTGAAATTTTCTACGAATGTAATCGACGAACACCGTTCAAATAAATAGCCAGATCCGAGACGAAACGAACGCTACGACTTCCGGTGGCCGCTGTAGTGGCCCTCGATCCTTACCGTTGTCCCTGTACCAAGTGTTCAAAGCTTTCGGCGAGGACTCGACGTAGCAGTGAAGAACGACGTCGCTGTTAGCAGGTGCCGCAACTAATTGGTTCGAGACTTTAATCAGCGGTTTGACTGCGGGCCGAGAGAAAACTATATGATTAATCATGTAAGTTGCATTCGCCGGTTGCCGCGGCCGGTGGGGTTCACTTACAACGAACATTGACGTAATAGCGTTTGCTGACCGTCGGCGGCACCCTGTTCGACGCGATGCAAAGGTACGAGCCCATTTCCTGCCGTAGAATGCCCGTCAGGTGGAGCTGCTCGCCCTCGTACGTTTTCACTGCGTGAAATACGCGTTTCGTTAAGTTACTTCTGTTTTACGCCTTACGGAAATTCTATGGTTTCCCTATGACCGCCTTTGTGCGCCTCTGAAACTGAACGGTCCTCTCGACCGTATTCCGTGGGGGATCGGCGCGATCCTTAGGCGTTGCCGTGAGTCAAAGATAAAATTTAAAATGGCGTAACGTGGAAAGAGGGTAATCCTGGTTTAAACAGTTCTGCCATTCTTGTTTCACGCTTTGACCCTTTTCACTGTCCAGGAAATTTCGACAGTTTTATTTTCAGAATTAAATCAGACCACACCGAAGAGTGTAGAAGCTCTTGTAGAAGCTACGGCGATAAGTGCTCGCAAATTATTCACATAATAGATGTGGATGTTTGGTTCATTAACGATAATGGACGGTGTAGTTGAACAAAGTCGCCGTAAATAAAGAAAATGTTAATGAACACTTGCCGACGAAAGCTAAGAAACATGCTACACAGGCGCATATTCTGTAGCAAAGCTTCTTAACACTGAGCGATAATTTGTATTATCTCAACAAAAATATTAATTTTACTTTTTTTTATAATTTCGTTGCTTATTTTTATTCCATTTTCGTATCCTTTTATCTTCATTAGTTTTCTTATTTGTCGTAGGGCGCTAAATGATATAATATTGTTGTACAAACATTGCGTTGTATGCTTCACTATAATATGTACTTTTAATTTATTAAGACGTATATTTATTAAACAACAAATTTTACCGAAACATTGACGATATTTGTTCTTTTACGAGCTACGGAATGTGAAAATTGAAACATTGCGACTTTTTTGGTAGACCTGCTTTCTATATATCACATAAAATCGTATTTAATAGTAGATGGAGAGTAATTGCCCTAATCCAACGATCTAAACGCCGGAAAATGAGCGACATTTCTGATTATCCGTAAATGTCTATCATTTGATTTCTTCTTCAATTTCGCATTCAATTTAATATTCATTTCTGTGAGCTCTGCAAAGATGCGTTCTAAAACTAGCGAACCGCATCGAAGAAGTTGCAACTTGGACAAAATGGACGTGAATCTGGACGCGTCGCGATTGTTCACGATAATGCGCTTATGAAAGACGGCCGAGAACTAACGAGAACGTATTATCAGTCGAGCAGTCAAGAATATATATTGCGACAGTCGGGGGTAGTATTTTACCGTAAAGTGTGTGTTGCATAATTGTTAAACGCAACGATAGCACGAGCGGTAATAAAAGTACTTCCGACCGAGAATAACGGCAAAGATAGCTGTTTAAGAGGCGAACTATAGTTGCAGCCCCGTTGACGAAGTTCGGGAAACTGCAACAGGTTCTGTTTCATTTCAAATCTGATCGAACGAGAAAACAAAAGACGAGATCAATGGCTCGCTCGTCCCAAGAGCGTACCAAGTCCTCTTATCTCGATTTTTCTTGAATTCTGTTTGAAGCTGTTTGATTCTGTCTGCGCAACATTTTTGTACAATCTGAAGCGTGCAATGTATTTGCGCGAGAGTCTTCGATCACGGATATCGTTTATCTTCTTTGGTATCTAATTACATCGGAATGAGATAACAAATTGATGAATAAATTGATGAAGCGTTGCACGATGCATTTTGACACCTTTCATTAGAGAGCAACGTTCGTACATTCTGTTCGAAACGATGCGTTTAAACCGATTCTTAATCCTGGAACTCATAAAGCGGGAGCTCGTTAAACCCGCAAGTTTGATAATGATAAATTATATCGATTCGCTGTGTCCACAGCTTCGTCCATAAAACGAAGAGAATGTGACACTAATTTCATTTTTATTGCAATGTATTGAACAAGCTAAACGATACTAGGATTTTTAGAACACGAAAGAGTCAATGGTATTTCCTACGATAAAATTTAACTTTCTAGTTACGATTTTGTTAATTAATTGACTTGGATATCGTCAGAATTTCTGAGGTTGATAGTTGCCGTTAAATGCGAAATTTCAACGTTTAAATAATAATAGATAATTATCTGCAAAATGGAAATCGGTTTCACGTATTATTAATGTATTATTATTTAGTTTATTTAGTTTATCATTGTTGTGCATTATTGTTTAATGTATTATTATTAAGTATTATTATTTGATGTATTATTGTGTATTATTATTTAATGTAGTATTATTTTGCATTGTTATTTAATGTAGAATAATTACGTATTTTTATTATGTATTATTATAATGTTTTATTGTAATGTATTATCATTTTATAAGTTCAACGAGCTCCTTTAGGAAATCCAAGGATAGTTACTCTGACAAAATAAGTAATCCATCGAGAATTTCATTCGTGGCAAACGCGACCACGATCAAAAAAGATTCGCAGTGCCGCAGAGAGACCACTTGACTGGCAAAGGATCGAACCAGAAAAGACCAGTCTCGATTCGAGTTCGATCGTCGGCCGTCTCTCGGTTCGCCGTCGATTCCGTCGGAATTATCCGGTCGTCAGCCGTCGAAAAGTTTTCGAAACGATTTACCCGATCGTATGGTACCGGTTTAAATGTATTCCTGTTTTAATATTCAGATCTTGATTACGCTCTCGGCGAGGGCAAATGCGGCCCGGTGAAATGACGTGGATGGATCTGCTCATTAAAGGATCCGAAACAACCGACGAGTGAGAGAGACAGAGAGAGAAAGAGAGAGAGAGAGAGAAAGAGAGAGAAAGAAAGAGAGAGAGAGAGAGAGTAGGATACGTTCACGTTCACTGAGAAGATCGGCGGATCGTTGGCGCGATATAGATACCGAGTGGTACACACTTTCGCGATGCAGTGTACACAGCGAATATTGCAATCGGGTATGCGAATCGATGGGGCCGGCGAAGAGGAAATATATGTAAAGTCAACATCCATCACTCACCGTTAGAAAGGCTAATCGGGTGGCTGATTTTCCAGCGGAACGCGGTGGACCCAACAGGGTCACGATCCTTTTTTTCCTCTCTCCTTTTTTCTCTCCTTCTCCCTCTCCCTCTTCCTCTCTCTCACACTCTCTCTCCCTCTCTCTCTTTCTCTCTCTCTCTCTTTCTCCCTCTCTCTCTTTCTCCCTCTCTCCCTCGGTCTCTCCTTCCTCGCTTTTCTCTCGACGCGTCGCTTTTACCGAAACCCCGGCGTATCCTTAACTCGCGAATCCATCATACTTGTTTGGATTTGGTTGGCACCGTATAAATGACCGATCAGCGGTCCCGTGTTCGTCCTGTACTGATTCCGATGCATGTACGTACATCGAGTCCCGATTTCCCGCGGATTCGGCGTCAGTTTTTCCCGCGATTCTCGTCCGGCATTCGGAGAAACAGCCAATTCGTGACTTTTCGGCGAAACCGATCGATGTCGCATTTCACGGATAAAAATCGAGAAGGTCGTCGACTTCGGCGTCTTAAAGTCTCGCTGAGTTGTAGAAGAACGTGTGAGGAAACTCTCGTCGGACGAAGACTGCGGGTCTTTTCTATTTTTTTCGTTGTTCAGGATGAACTTCGAGTGGAGACAGAGAGAGAAATTGTACGTGGCCGGAAAGGTGGCGTTACGGGGATCGACTTTAACGGGTATACGTTTCTAGTCGACTTCTAAATCTGCAGGAAATTTTCTATTTTTCCCGCGCTCGTGATATTCTGTTTTATGTCGAAATGGGGTAACATGGCGATGCAATATTTCGGAGCGTGGAGTTCATAGTATTTGCAAAGTGGATACGAGGGTGGTTTATGTTTGAGGATTACGGGGGATTGGAAGAATTCAAAACTGGCTTCGTGGAAAACACGATTTCTAGTTTCCTAGGGGGAGCATATTCAAAGTGAACCGATTAATTAATGGGCCCGATCTGTAATTCATCCGGTTTTGGTTTTTTTTTTCTTTGCGCGATTCTACGTTTGCGGGATAATTGGCTTTGAAAGTCTGCCAAGCACCCGTGCAATTGAAGCACGACTTGACTAATGCGTCTGCTGCTTCTACGTCTTCATCATCCGCCTGTGTGTCAACACTGGAACCGGTAGCGTCGATAGGAATGATTACGATCAGTATCGACACTGTTAAATCGCGTGGAAAACTTCCCGCATGAAAATAGAAGAATGTTATTCTGAAAGACATTTAAAAGTTCAGAGCACAGTAAATTCTCCCTAATTGTCCCTCGGCTTCTAAACGAAAACAGACAATTTGAGAGAATTTACTGTATCCAAGAATTGTTAAACGTAAAAGTTGAAGCGTTGAAAAATTCAAACGTGAATTAAAAAACTCGGTAATTCAAATAATCATGAATTTAAAGATTCAAACATTCGAACGTCCAACAGTTTCAATGATTAAAGAATAAAAAGTTCAAGAATTCAAAAATGATCAAAAATTAAACAATTTTGCAAATTCTATCCGATTTTTAAACAATTCATATCTTGGAAACTCGAAAACTCGGTGAGCCAGAACATTAAGCATTCAAAGGCTCACAGACAAAGACCAGGTCAAGTTTGAACAAATCAAGGATAAAGAAAATCAATGAACCACAAAACCATATCGTTGTTAGACTGCAGATTTTACGCGCATATAACGAGAGAATGAGAATTTAAACGCGACGCAACAATCACTATAATTTTGACAGTACAACAGTGCTCTGAAATTCTCTCTCTTCTGACATACTTACTGAAAGGTGAAACAATTCTTCGCGAACCTCCCATCATCCCTTGCAATCACTACAGAAAATCTTAGCGTAAAAATCCACAGTCTAACCACAGCAGAACCTCGATTATCCGAACCAGTAAGAGACACACGAGCGTTCAGATAATAGTTCGAAACAATTGGTCGATTAAAGCAAAAGAATCAAGTTTCTAAGTATTACGAGTATTACTAAGTATTACTAAGTTCTACGACCAACAGCGTTGCACGTAGATCAACTTGGCTCGCTCTTCGTGTCTAGAACCCGTTTGACCATTGAATCATTCGAAGATTGTAGATTCTTGTAATCGAAGCTCCACTGTATCGTATCCGACGATTGTCCGATCTGCTCCGCGATTTGTGTCACGATTCGACCGTGACTCCCTTGCCGAATGAATCGACGAAGGGGATTCGAACGATAGTACCTCGTTGAACACCTTGCGCGGTCCGCAAGGTAATATTTCTGCCATCTTCGCGGCGCCAGGTGACCACAGGTTCCGGCGTGCCGGTGGCTCGGCACCGTAATCGCAGATCGCTGTTCTCCTCGGCCGTTAGGAGATCGGTCGAGTCGTCCAAATCCATGATATCGGGCGGTATCACTACCTTCATGTGACCCGTCTGTGGAAAAGATCGTTACCAACCGCCATATAGTACCATTTGTCCGGCGGCGTAAAAGATCTGGCCTCGAACGCCGCGCGCCGGACCACCGTGTATTCCCTGGGACATTTAAATCAAGCTTAACCCTAGGATTCGAAACTCAACGAATGCGACTGCTCAGCGCGGAGACTTCCCTTTAATCTAGGTTTACCGTGGCGAAAAAATATGGACTGCCGCGCGCAATTGTAACTACACAACCGTGCTCCTCCATTTTATTTCCGTTCTCGTCCGTTCTTTCGTTTTCTTTTTTTCTCCCGGGCGAAACCTTCCGCCGAAATTTTTTGTAACATTCAATTAAGCGATGCTGTCCCGGATACTTTCGCCGGTGATATTTCCGTCGCCTCCGCGGCATTGTTGCGACCGAAACGTTGCGGCGTGACGGAACACGCGTGATTTAAATCGTTCAAAGCGTTTCGATCGCGCGCCGCGCTATGGCTCATTTTGTTTTTTGCCGATCTCTTTCGAACGTCAGCGAACCTTTTTCTAATGTATACGCGATCATGTTTGTTGCGCGTTGTTGAAGTATATTTTTCTAATTGATTGGATACTATTAATCATTCGAAACACAGGGGCAGGTTCATTTTATGTAATATTGACTGTTGCGCGTTGTATCTCGATTTTGGGGATCTTTTTCAAACGTTATTGACCATTCCTGCGAAATATTTTTACAATTACTTTATAGCATACATTTTGAAGTACATTTGTCTAGAGCTTCATTGAGAAATATTAATAATTGCAAACACGTGAGTTGCTGAACGTTTTACCCCATTTTTAGGGACCTTTTTCATACTTTATTGAACTTTTTACGAAATGTTTTTATAATTACTTTAAAATATATATCTTGAATTATATTTCCGAAAAGTACCATTAAAAAATATTAATAATTGCCAGCATGACAGCCGATCAATCGAACGAAGTTCCATCAAATAAATGTACATTTTACATACATCGATCATTGAACCTTGCACCCCATTTTTAAAGTACATTTCCCTAAAGTTTCATCGAGAAATATTAACACTTTAATGACCGCACTTCTATTCAATCAATCGTCGCAGGGATTGGCAATATTTTTGAAGAATTAATTTAACACTTCCACGACCGCGCTAGAAACCTCAAAAATTTTCATAAAATTAAAATATTTCATTCGATTAAACAAAAATTATGAAGCAAACTTATAATGGCATCGATTACTTCTTCAGCATTCGTACCACTTGCAAATCGTAATAAAAATCGNGGCAGGTTCATTTTATGTAATATTGACTGTTGCGCGTTGTATCTCGATTTTGGGGATCTTTTTCAAACGTTATTGACCATTCCTGCGAAATATTTTTACAATTACTTTATAGCATACATTTTGAAGTACATTTGTCTAGAGCTTCATTGAGAAATATTAATAATTGCAAACACGTGAGTTGCTGAACGTTTTACCCCATTTTTAGGGACCTTTTTCATACTTTATTGAACTTTTTACGAAATGTTTTTATAATTACTTTAAAATATATATCTTGAATTATATTTCCGAAAAGTACCATTAAAAAATATTAATAATTGCCAGCATGACAGCCGATCAATCGAACGAAGTTCCATCAAATAAATGTACATTTTACATACATCGATCATTGAACCTTGCACCCCATTTTTAAAGTACATTTCCCTAAAGTTTCATCGAGAAATATTAACACTTTAATGACCGCACTTCTATTCAATCAATCGTCGCAGGGATTGGCAATATTTTTGAAGAATTAATTTAACACTTCCACGACCGCGCTAGAAACCTCAAAAATTTTCATAAAATTAAAATATTTCATTCGATTAAACAAAAATTATGAAGCAAACTTATAATGGCATCGATTACTTCTTCAGCATTCGTACCACTTGCAAATCGTAATAAAAATCGTCAATCGACTGAATTTAAAACGGGGAGATCTCCCCGTTCGGTTGGCTTAGTGTTAAGAAAACTTGATGTAAATTCACGAAATAATTCAACATGCGTGAACATACACATCAAACAAAAACAACAATACAACAAATTTAATATTTTCCCTTTGTCTGATAATTATCGAAACAATCATCACTACATTATTATTAAAGCATCAAGCACACGTTGCGTGAGCGGTCATTAAAATGTTAATTTTAGTTTCTTCGAAAGGGCGCGGCGAAAAAGCAGATTCGTGACTAGAAACTCGTAAATCAAAAATAAAGCCGGTCCCCTGAGACGTGTAAATCCAGCGTGGAGGTTTTTTCGACGCAATTGGTCAGACATATTCAAACAGCCAATGGAATAAAAAAAAAAGAAAAATCTGCGCTGGCTACGACCCGCAAAGGATTAACAAATGTTTGCGTCGTGAAGCGAGTCACGGTTCGCGGGTCAATCGAAGCTCGCTTAAAAGTTCGCGGAGTCCCGCGGAGCAGGAAGTTCGCGGCATCTATGGATTCCACGCGTTTCATTGAAAGTTTCCGTTCGCGAGCATCGGCGTTTAATTACTTTCGCCCACTCGATGCGCCGCGTCGCAGTGAACGTCTTTCCGGCAGAAAGCATCGGTCCGGGCGTCGTCGATAAACAGTTTTAAAAGCCCCAGGAGGTGGAAGCGTTCATCGATGACAATACCAGGAGGGAAAAAAAAGGGAGAAAGAAAAAATAACAATCGAGCGCGGAGACAGAGAAGGGAAAACGATTCGCGGACGACCCTATTGTCACGAACAGGGACAGAATTTTGCAGTTATCTGACACGCATTATACTAACCTGACTCCTCATGGGCTCCGTATTAACTTGACACATGTACGTGCCAGAGTCGTTCGGTTGGACGTTGGTCACGTGCAGTTTCCACGTGTTATGTCCGTTGTGAGTGACAGACAGCCGTGGGTTGTGTGTGACCATGTGCGTATGAATGGCCAGGATAGCTCTGGAGTCCGACTTTATCCAGGCAACCTGTATAATAGAATCGGTAGGGTGGACACACGGCTGGGTTCCGCCGTTTCAGCAGCTGATTATAAACCGCGGCTCTCTCGCGCCCGCATTACTTACACGGACGCCGATAATAACGGATTTAGAATTCGGTTATTCGGGTATTAGTTATGTGGGGTGAGTCGCCTACCCCTCGCCTGTCCGCGACACGTTTCCTCCCCGCGTAATAGGTAATGGAGTACGGTGAAGTCTGGCGTAACTTGCTATCAGAAACCTGGATGATACGCTCGCCAATCGCAGCGAACGGCTCGTGTACAATACCGAACAAAACTGAAACAATGGAACGATTTTTAGCACGTTCATCCCTTCGGTCCGGAACGCTCTCGTAAGTAGGCTTTATGATTAATCGATTAGCCGTGTCGTGATGAGTATACTCGTCGTGCGTAAAAAGTAGGCTATATAATCGTAGTTTTAGCGAAAACAAAATTTTGAAGAACAAAACCCAAATTTCAAGATGTTTAGAATATTTTTAGGCCGATTCTACACGAAGGTGTTTACATTGTTATTAAAATAAGATTGGAAAAGCCACTGGAAAAGACTGTACAAATTCGATAGGTCAAGCACAAGTAGCTGCCATTTTGACAATTTTCACAAAAATAAAAACGTTTGATCGTCAATCCCCGGAGAATATATTCTAGTACGAAGCATTTTTTGAATTTTTGTTCAAGGTAATCCCGTTGAATCGTGCACACCGTTAGATCATTTAAAAAAAAAACTCGTTTAGAGCGATACCATTAAAAACTGAAATATATAACATTTGAAACAAGTTTTTCTTAAACATTTCGTTGCTTTTCAGCGAGATGAGAAAGTCCTGTTTCAAACAATAGATCGCATAACTTCAAATGTATTAGACTAGAAACGCCGAAAGTACGTCCTTTGAAAAATAGCTCTATGGGGTGGCTCTCCGTTTTTGTTAACGAACCAATTAAATTTAACCAATTCAATTAAAAATTTTTTTTTAATTCCCGACGAGTGTGTGTGTCGACGCGAACGCATAATTAAAATCATCATGAATGCAAATAGGTTCTACTTGAGATTATATCGCCGCAGGAACGTGAAAAATGCGACCCCTATATTGCAAAGGGGATGGAACAAATGGCACCATTAAAATTTTATTTGTAGCAAATATATATAGCGAATTTATCTTTGGTACAAGGAGCTCCAGATGGCTCCTCGAGTCATTACTTCGGAAAATAAAATCGGAAATGCGTAGAAAATGTGCCAGTATGAATTACAATGATTTGCTTTCTACGACCTATAACCGTTGGCGTAACTGGCTAAATTATTTGCATCGTGAATGCCCTCGACTCTTATCAAACTCTCATTCCTCCAACTTAGTTCAATCCTTGAACAGAGAGCTAAAGGAATCGTTGTGACTGAATAATAAACAATTACATCAGTAAGTTACTTTCTGCGAAATGAAACCATGTCAAAAGTTAATACTAGGTTAATGTAACAATGACGTGGTTAATTTGACGTACAGACCATAATTAATTTTGAAAATATACATTTTTACAGCATTGTTTTTACACCGAATCGAATTATGTAGAAATCGATTTTCCAACTTCAATTTTTTGTATCGGAAAAAGTTATATTATTGTCAATAAATCCATACACTAAAAATCCAATGCTATTATATTATATTATATATGTTTATACACTATTATATTATACATATTACCAATAATATCCATACACACTATTTTCTTCAACCGCCATGTACACAAACCATAGTAAAAATCTCAACTCGGAAACTTCGCTTTTGTTCATTTTAATTTCAACGTTAATCGACTGCACCGTAACTGTGAACTTTACCACAGAAAAATATGGCAAATTGGCGCAACGGGCGGATGAGGGCTCGAAAAACATCTGTCAAATAGAATAATTTCATTCTTCCGATCAGGAAGCACCAGATGCTGGCGGAAACGTCTGCTCGGTAAACAGAATGAAAAATCCACGGGAGACAATCCGGCAGCAAATAGTCTATTTTTTCGGCTAACAGAAATATTTGCGTTTGCGAACGCTTTCAGAAGATATTCCGGTAGAACGTTAAGTACAATATCTGCCGAGCCTAAGCATCGAACGGCCCACATTCGTCCGCGCGGTGCTGAGTGGCGAGATGAACCTGAATTATCTACGTACACATGTGCGAATTGTACGACGAGTGACATACGAGCGTGATGCGTTTTGCCGCGTAAAATTCCCTCCGCGACTTCGCTTTATCCTTCTGTATTCATGAGTTCCAGCGCAAACAACTCCGTTAAAGCGTGTAACGTAAACGTTACACCGCGTAACAAGGGTAAGAAGGCAAACCCGAAACGAAGGAGCCCGGCGTTACAGCATATTTTAATCCCGCATGCTTTACTTTCCGTCGCTTCCTGCTGAAAAAACAACGTCCCGCCTTCGCTGCCGGAATCTGGAACGAGAATTTCCCCGTGTCCTCGTGCGTTATGCTACGTTTCGTATTCAATCGTGCCGTCTCCTCGAAACTGGAGCCCTGAGCCTTATTCATCCACCGATTATCATTTTTTTTTCATGACGTAATTCTAGTAAAGTAATGACTTAATCTTGCAAAATTTTTAACTTGTCTGCGAACGTGTAAGTAAATGCTAAAATATTTATATAACATATAATATATGATATATTATATAATAATAATAATAATAATAATATTANAATTATGTAGAAATCGATTTTCCAACTTCAATTTTTTGTATCGGAAAAAGTTATATTATTGTCAATAAATCCATACACTAAAAATCCAATGCTATTATATTATATTATATATGTTTATACACTATTATATTATACATATTACCAATAATATCCATACACACTATTTTCTTCAACCGCCATGTACACAAACCATAGTAAAAATCTCAACTCGGAAACTTCGCTTTTGTTCATTTTAATTTCAACGTTAATCGACTGCACCGTAACTGTGAACTTTACCACAGAAAAATATGGCAAATTGGCGCAACGGGCGGATGAGGGCTCGAAAAACATCTGTCAAATAGAATAATTTCATTCTTCCGATCAGGAAGCACCAGATGCTGGCGGAAACGTCTGCTCGGTAAACAGAATGAAAAATCCACGGGAGACAATCCGGCAGCAAATAGTCTATTTTTTCGGCTAACAGAAATATTTGCGTTTGCGAACGCTTTCAGAAGATATTCCGGTAGAACGTTAAGTACAATATCTGCCGAGCCTAAGCATCGAACGGCCCACATTCGTCCGCGCGGTGCTGAGTGGCGAGATGAACCTGAATTATCTACGTACACATGTGCGAATTGTACGACGAGTGACATACGAGCGTGATGCGTTTTGCCGCGTAAAATTCCCTCCGCGACTTCGCTTTATCCTTCTGTATTCATGAGTTCCAGCGCAAACAACTCCGTTAAAGCGTGTAACGTAAACGTTACACCGCGTAACAAGGGTAAGAAGGCAAACCCGAAACGAAGGAGCCCGGCGTTACAGCATATTTTAATCCCGCATGCTTTACTTTCCGTCGCTTCCTGCTGAAAAAACAACGTCCCGCCTTCGCTGCCGGAATCTGGAACGAGAATTTCCCCGTGTCCTCGTGCGTTATGCTACGTTTCGTATTCAATCGTGCCGTCTCCTCGAAACTGGAGCCCTGAGCCTTATTCATCCACCGATTATCATTTTTTTTTCATGACGTAATTCTAGTAAAGTAATGACTTAATCTTGCAAAATTTTTAACTTGTCTGCGAACGTGTAAGTAAATGCTAAAATATTTATATAACATATAATATATGATATATTATATAATAATAATAATAATAATAATATTAATAATAATAATAATAATAATAATAATAATAATAATAATATTAATAATGTATAATATGTAATGTATGTTTTATTATACTTTGAAAATAATAAATATTATTTTAATTATTAAGATTTTATTTTAGATTGCCCGCAACTCCACAATGTTGCTCATGCCGAAAAATAGAAGGGTTAAAATCAAGACAATTCATAAACGATGGGGGTTAAATGTATTTCCGAAAATAATAACTAGACTAGTAGATACAGTACAAAACGGTAAATGCAAGCGATGACTGTAATAACGCTGTTAGATTATTTTCAAACCGTAGAATATGTTCAAACTGCAAATAAACATTTATCTAGTTCCTATTTGTTGCAATTAAACTAGAGCATTTTTGTTTCGTGAATGAGGTATGTTTGTCAAATGTCGCTGATATGGTTTGCAGATAATTATACCTATTTGTTTATCATTCTGGAATATTATGTCATTACAGAACAACGTAAATAAACGATATCGACAAAATTGGTATAGGGAAACTGTATATGTATAACGTTTCAAAGCAAGAAGCATCACGAGACTAATAAAATTGACGTGGACAATAGTTCGGACATGGCAGTGGTTTATGCCAACATGGATGCTGGAACGCAATCAAGTGACTCATTGAATGAAACAGCCAATGAATGCTAATAACACTAGACTGCGGATTTTATGCATTTTAGGCAACATTGAATGGTTATAATTTAGAATAGTATATAAAGGGTGAAGGCGTTTCACAAAGCCAATCTATTATCTTTAATCTATCAAAATTATTAAAGGAATAAAGAACTCGCTGTTTAACTTTCATTTCTTGCGGATAATTTTTGTTTCGCATAAAAATCTTCCAGTTAAAAGCACTGGTGGAAATTTTCGACTCATTAAAATTATACAGAGATGAAATATATGTCCTGTACTTTATAACTAGCGTAAACAATTTTCATTTTGCACAGAAATTCGTAATTTTTGGTACTTTCGCGGTGCGTTACAAGACAAACGATTGCGAGCCGGAGATTTCTTTAGCGTTCTTTGATAGTTCGGCTTTTGCGTTCTAACATAAAACGCAGTTCGCACACAGTGTGACCAATTTAAGTAAACCCCGGTGCATTTCAAAGCCGGCGACGATACCGAAAAATGTTTC